GTAAGCAGAATCAAAAATTATCGACGTTCTCTGATGATATGTCGACAGCCCCAAAAGAGGCGCACGCGCACCAACCGATCCCGCCGACGACACCGATAACAATTTCGGAAACTTTTGGCGAACAGTAAAAGTTCGTTAATTTTAAAATTTTAATTAGTTTATGAACGAGGTCGCACCGAACAAGGCCGCTCGTAAATAATCCTAATTTAAACCGTTATCTAAGAAGCGCGAACAACTAACGTCGTAAATTGTGTTTTATTACTTGTCTACTAACAAACGCCGAGATAAGAATTTGTTCAACGATTTCCTAAAAAGGAAAACTGCGCTCATCTCATCCCACAGTTCGTTTGTTGCGTTGCATAATTTTGTTCCGAGCGGTGAGCGTCTTTAAAAGGAGACAACACAAAATGTCTCGCCCCTTCCGAACCAACGGTGTTTTTCCGAAAGCGCGGCTCGATCCTGTATTCACGTATTCATTCCTGTATTCATGTCCTGTCGACCATTATAGACCTGAAATTAATGATCGTGAAGACAGGCCTTGACACTTAAACTTGTTTAAAAGAGAGGATTCACTGTTCTACGTAAAACTTCGTTTTGTCTCGCGTCCGCACTTCAATAGTTTAAATTCGTCTATATGCATTTCCTTGATGCTTGGCACACGCACACCTTTCTTAGGTCCACTTAATGATGTCATTAGTCGAATGAAAGAGAAAAGCTAGGAAGGGACTTTTATATTGTACGCAGTAGAAGGCAGACTTTCGAAGCGAAGTAGATTTTTTCCCCCAGAACGATATTAGTTGCGCGGAAAGTGGCAGAGAATGCGATAAGATGCTACAAAGGAGTGATCTGAAACGCGCACGCGATATTATATTCATACAGACGTGTACTTTGCTCCTGCAAGCTGAGCGGGCGCGAGTTGCGAGAGGCGAGCGGGTCTTGCCGTTCTCGAAACAGAGAATCACAGCTTTCTTAGGCTAACGTTATGTAAAATTAAAATAAATGTTACCTAGGTAGCATTCAAAACACCATTCTTTCCGCGTGGCATTTTTGTACTTTTTTGTTTTTCTCCGCTCTAGAACAACTGTCACGAAATGCCTTTCCGACCAAGGCCTAATTGGCTATCATCTTTTTTCTTCGGCTTCCTTACTTTAAGAGGTAGGTTTGGGTTCGTAGCAATATATCCAGCTTTCATCACCTGTGATGATATCGAGCACAGCGTTTGAGTCACCGCCATTGTTTTCTAACATTTGACAATACCAAGCCATGCGAAGGTGTTTTAGTCATCGGTTCAAGAATAAGACGTCCTTCATGCCGACCGTTACCGAGATTGTTACGTTCATGCTGAACCACGTTTAACCAATTGTAAGTAGTGGCACTCAATTAGTTTTTTTAAGAAAGGTTAATCACAGCCTATCGTTGTTGTTGAGCAAGTCCACGGCGATAGTCCAATAAATTACTAAGCGAAAATTTTGTCGCGTTAGAGCTTTAGATTTGCCGCCAAAATACGAATATGTTGGGTCCCTACTTGGACCAGCGCTAACTGCGCTCTTAGCTCGGGAGCCGTTTTAACATAAATGTACGATAAGAATGATATTCTCTAATACAGCGAATCATTGGATAAAACTCCACTCTCTACACAAACTATTACTTTATTTTTAAACGCTTTTATATAATAACCTTGTTTCAACAGTTTTATTTACTTGAGAAATGAAATGTTGGCTCAAAAGATGGAATGTTTTTTGAGAATAATGCGAATGGAATGAATGGTTTAAAGCGAATTTACGAAATCGCTTGAGTGTTTCTTAGGCCGTAACTTTGATAGTACCTTTGTGATCAGTTACCTATCGTGTAGTAATAAGACTTCCGAAGTCTGAAGCTATCTTAAATTCGAATAAAGCCACGCGATACTACTCTTTCTCATTGATATACAAAAAAGTCGATCAATAATTAAACCAGTCATTGTAACAAACGCTTTGCACAAATAAAATTTCCATGCAAACCTCCCGGGAGCCCGAGGGACTGGCCAAAAAAGCAATCAAACAAATTGACATAAATCTAGACCGAAACGGAGATGTAAGCGAGCGATCCCGGGCGATTTCACAAGTCATATGAACTCCTAATATGATTGTCTTGTCAGAGAGACTTGATGTAGGTTACTTTGAGACAATCTTATTCGCATTATTCATTTAATAAAATAGAAACTCGGATTATTTGCTAAATACGAGACGGATCGATATAATTGTCGAATTCTCACAGTAAGGGTTTAAAAATACAAAACAAGAAGGAGAAATTTGCTTAATGAGAAAACTTAACACCTGGATACGATTAATCGTACCTACTATTTTCTTTAGTGAAAAGTCATGTTTGAAACTTAAATATAATTTTAATCTGGTTTCATCTATTAATATGCCTTTGCTAACACAGGTCTTTCGTCATCGTAGTACATAGGGTTTTCCAGAGAACAGACCTACCGCGGGTATACCAACGAGGCAGATAAAATAAATAAAATGTGTATTCAAAAAATTCTGTGAATTTCTATTAAGTTGCGTTTTGATACGGTAATAAATCGCTTCACCTCTTATGCTGGTTGTGCAGCAAAAATTGGCGAAGAGCAAAAACAATTTTAATCATTGCTTTTATAAACTATCATAGCAGTATATTATAAATGTAAGACGTAAATATAACAGAGAGAGTGTAACAGGGACAAACAAAAAACAATAATTGGATCATGAAATAAACACCTCCAGAATCAGTGAGCAAAATATGAAATGAATAGCGAAGCGTCGCCGAATAGCCGTGGAGTTAACACCGAGCTGTGTTGTTTAACGTAAACAGGACATTTTCTCATCTCGCCGAAAATTTACTCGAATAAATTAGCCAAAAGGCGAGACTGCTGAATTTTAACCGCTCTAGGCGCGTGACCACCCGATGCGACTACTCGCTGAATTTTAATATTTCATTCTACAACATAAGCGTAGTTGCTTTACAGCAGTAGGTATTCGAGCTCAATTGAAAATGATATACGACGAAGGCTATCAAAATATGTGTATTCACAAGCTGTGTTAGCGACTTCGTCCGCGTAGAATTTTGGGCATCAACATTTGTTTTTGCAAAGCACCTTATCTGTATAAACTGTAGTTGTCATCTACGACGTCGGTCGCGTCGCACCTTTCTCCCAAGTTAATCTTAAAGGATAGATACATATTGTATATTTAAAGAGGAATCATTCTCTCATACTATATCCCAAAAAATATCATGAACCGTTTTTGCAGCACATGCAATTAATGTAATTAATGTTTTTTAAATAAAACACTTTAACGGTTTCAAACGCGATATATTAGTTAAAGTGTTTTATTTAAATGTGTTCTACTCGCGTAAACTATAGGCAGTATTTAATTAATGTTTTACTGTATTTTTTCACCTTTCCCACTGTTTCTTCACTCCTGTTAGTCGCATCGCAATGTTTTATAAAGCCTTCCTCAACGAATACTCTAACCGACACGAATAATTTTCCCATTCAAACCTGTAGTAGTTATATAGTATGGATTAGCATAGATAATGTACTTTTTTGCAAATTTGTCTAAAATTTTACTAAAAAAAAAAAGCTTAAGCTTATTACTCGATTTCTAGTCGAACTTGCAACGAAATAAGTTTACTGCGAAAAAACCTTTAGGCCATCGCTTTAATAAAATTGTCGAATCGCTTTAGTATTCGGAACGAGGAAATTCACGAGTAATTTTTTAAGCACCTAATTTGAATAAGTCTCAAAACTGAAGACGTCTTCATCAGTAATCATAGATGGGTTTTCTATAATTTCTGGAGAGCGGAAAGGGTCCTCGAAAGGGTCATTTGCATCGGAGACGTGGGTGCTAAGTCAGCTGTTACGAGTCAAAAACTAATCTTCAAAGTACTAAGTACTGGAGGAAACGGCACAGAGCCCGCCGTAGGGCGGCATATTTCTTTCTTGGCTAGGCTTCTCCACAAATATAAGTCGCAGATTCGAAGGACATAGCCGAATCTCATTTCTAAACGGAACTGGTAAAATGATGTTACTATTTGTGGCGGTATAGAGGAAAAACAGTATACACAGTATCAAAAGAGTCACACTAAAATAAGTAATTCCATTTAAATCAAGTATGCAGAACAGCTTCGAGCGCGAGTCTTTGCAAAATGCACGTCACATAGTTTCGAAATGGGGGGCAGTCTCTACTCTCTAGACTCGGCTCTGACCAGGTTTTAGGGGCGTTATCACCTCTCATTACTCCCGCACTTTAATACATTCAGCTTCTCTCAGTTTTAGCTTATTCATTTACTCACAACTGAATTAATTACAGAATAAGAGCCTTCACGGCTCATTTTATTTATTAAAAACATTAGTCTCGCAATGACGTAAGTAAACTTTGAATAATTAGATTATTATTTATTTGCATAACATTATTTTTATTAAAGGAGTCACGTTGACGTAGTTCTGGCCCTAATGCACTAAGGTAGCCGCTGTAGCTGACTTTTCATACGAATAAATGCAAATTATTCAACCTATTCGTATCGGGACGCAAAAACAGTGTCGCCCGACAGTCTAATAAACGAGTCATTAATTAATCAAAGCATTATACATTTCGGTTTGATGTTCGCTAGTTCAACAAAAACGTGTTTGAACAAAAGTCCATTCATGGCAACGACAACGTAAACTTTGAAAGTAGTCCAAATGTTGAACGCCGGGCCACACACGATGTATAGGGCTGGCAAAATAGGGGAGTTTTCATATCGATCGCCTCGCGAACTGTTCACAAGCAATAACATTGCCAAAGCGTCATCGCCCAATTTAGTTTATTCTATAATAAAAATAATATTTCTGGCTAAATTAGTTATAAACAAACGGGCGACAGAAACGCAAACACACGATATCCGCCGCCATTAGTCGAGATAGCTGTTTCCACGTGAGGCGGCCGGAGCAGCCCTAGCGCAAGTTACGTTATTATTCCGTCCAACAAAATAGTACAATGCGCTGGAGTATGTCCTACTTCAGCACTTCGGCACGTTCATGTGTACTTTGTGCCGTTTTTAAAAAGCCCAAACTCGGTTCATTTCGTTCGTCTCTTTGGCCAAGTGCTCATATTGCTCGTCGCCATCGCGATTTGCGCGCCCTTCTCTCGCTGCTCTTTTTCGCTCATTACAGCTCTTCCCGAACTACTGAGCGAAGGATAACGAGGATTTTAATGATACCACTCGTGATCTGCGGCATTCGAGCATGGATCGCGACGAGGAAAGTCGCTCGCACGGCTAGAGCGACTCTAGCGGGCCCTCGGGCCGCAAAAAGGTGTTAGGAAACACCCCTCGTAATACAGATAATAAATGACGTAGATGTAAAAGACTAAGCGCGATCAATCAACGTCTCGAGATGAAATGTCTCGCACATTAGATTTATTGTCTCACGCGCACTTGCAAGCTTTTTACCGGCTTCATTTGTTAAGGGCTGTCTACGATTAATGCAGACGTGCGACGAGGGATTACGTGTACCGCGAGCGATTCATAAACAAAATTCTTATGTAAGAAACCCAACCGAACCCTAATACTCTCACAATGTTATACTCAATAATTGGATATACTCAACTAGGTACGGCTTTTCTTAATTAATTCACTCAATTGTCGTAACGGATAACTACGAGTATTTCACATTTATCGCTAGTTTCAATGTTTACTATCTACATTCTACACTAATATTATAAAGCTGTAGATTTCGTTTGTTTATTGCTTTCAACGAGCTAATACCAGGAAAAACGGGTTCAAATAAAATAAAAAATATTTTGGTGTAAGTTAGTCCATTTCTCAATGAAACCTTCATACTATATTACATCACTCTGCGACAAATAGAAGCGAAGAAGCAGTGGAAAATGTGAAAACAACCGGGAAACGTATTCATTTTTGGTTTTCATCGAAACAAGTATCAATTAGTTAGTTCTTCCCGAACGGACGTTGCCCTTAAGCTTATAGCGTAAGAAAACAAATGACGAACACGAGAAAAGTGATTTTGCCGATGGAGAGTCGTTTAACAATCCAGTTAAGCGTGTGGCGACAGCGAGCGTCATAAATCTGCGAGATATTACAAAATGGAGTTTTATCCCGGGATACGACGTTGGCGAATCGTCCCCGGACGATCTTCGCTATTTGTTTTGCCGATCCGTGTTATTGGAAATTGTTAAACCGGACAGAAGAGGGACCGGCAGCGGAGGGACACTACACTACCGCGAAGATGATGCGAAATCCAAGTTACATTATGTACTAAGCTAACGGTTTTAAGAGGAACGATAGCACACATCAGTAACGAAGCGATGTGAAAGAAGTTAAAACACTTAAATACCCCAATGAAACATAATATATAACAACAAAAAAATATCGAATATATAAGCCTTAGTTACTTATTACTTTACCTACAAGGAGACGGCGCGCTTCAAGTCAATAGATAGTCAACAGGCGTAAATATTGAATCTTTAGCCAGCGATTTAAAAAGTTTCAATTTACAAAGTAGGCGTTGTCCCATCTATACATCTACACGTATGAATTGTTTATATATATAAGTTATAATAGTCGATTACGCCGCACCGGGTTCCCATTCCTGGCCACATTCGTAACGTAAACCGTAACCCCTAGAGTCGTTTATCTGAATAAATTTTAAAACTTATCTAAAGATATCGTTCCGAGTCCATATCTATGCAACGGTTGAGATGGTCCATAAATTTGTGACTGCTCTCTTGCGGCCACGCTTTGTCTAAAATGGATTGGCTCGATGCGTGTCTCTCGCTGGCAGTACACGCCACAGGGCAACGATTTCGATTTGCAGTTCGGCTTCGGTCAGTTGCCATTTTTGCTTTTGGTTTGATTGATGCCTAGAAGTGAATATCCAACGCACGACACCGAACGACTTGTAAAATAGATACTTTAGAAGTAACCTTAACGATCTGCCAAATAATGATATCAAATCTCCCTCCAACTAAAGTTAAGTTTCAGTCATTAATCAAGAAAACAAGAATCGCTGAACACCGAAGGCTTTCCCGCTTCGGCCTTTTGTATATGACAAACATTATACGGTTGCGGTAACACTTTTAATTTGCACTCCTTGATAATAAAACTATTGAAATTAATTGTTTCTCTTATTTCATGTATGTTTCAAAACATTGTAAAATATCACAATACATGTTAACATACATATAAGAAAACTTTTATTATTATTTCATTAAAAGTGCCCTATAATAAGAACTATTCAAAACAACATTACAATTCTCGTACTCTTAACAACTCGTTATGAACTATGCTGGCGAGTATTATTTTAGCCCGTTATTATACGTGTAAGTCGTAAAAGTGTTTTATTTATACAAACACTGTCTTCTACGTATGAAATGAACGCCACGATATCAACCCTCAGGGTGGAGCCTAAAGTTAAATAAGAGTAAACGCAGCGCACGTCAAGCGATTCCATCGCCATGCAGCAAAAAGAAATGGCATAATTGCCTGCCACTTGGAAAATAGTCTAACGTAAATGCAGCCCTCACATTTCCTCCGCGGCATCTCAAGACGACCTCGCCCTTCGGCATGGCACAAGGCGTCGAGCTGAGCTGAAATATCGTACATTAATTATTTCTTTTTGTGGAGTTGATAGTTTTTCATTTCGCACTAAAGCGACCGACCAATTAGTTGAAAACAAGTATTCGATAAAAAATACGTCGTAAAGAATCCTGGATTCTTTATTGAGATAATATTATATAATAATAATGAATACACGTATACCTTAGTAAGCTGCAGTTCGTTGCACGCGGACAACCGAAAGATTTGTTTCGTACGACGCAAACGCTCGTCGCTTAGAGCACGGATTGCGTCGAGTGCGCGGCACTCGGCCGAAGCGACGCGCCTGCCACCGACTAGCGCCCTTATCCTTTGCCAATTAGGAGATACATTCGCGTGGCATCTCGCGGGCCCACGCATGGCCGCGTCCAGACGTTCTTGTGCAACGTTAGCTTTGAAACTTGTCCGCGAAATTAAATTGAAAGGAGGATTTATTACAAAAATACATTTAATTTTTAATCTGCATAAACCCTGCATAAACTGCAGGTAAGCAGTTTTATTAACGTTTAACCCGTACGCTTGAGTTTACGAGTGCCCGTGCGCTCGTGAATTTAAAATTAATGAAAAGAACATTTTATTATTATTTCGTGGCTGCCGCTTACAATTATTCGTTTAAGGACATATGGTATGGTAATGTCTCAATGTTTATTAGTAAAACTGGTGCAACGAATATCGCGGAAGAAGAATATCGGAATTGCGAAATGGGCCGTGAGCCTGTGAAGACGGTGTTCCCCTGATTTCCCGACGGAAATAAATACGATGTTTTTACTCTGCATTGTGCATTGTGCATACGATCCTCCCAACGCTGGGCTTCCATTGAGAGCGGAATTTGATCACCGAATTCTAAACGTATATATGTACATGATGTGTGTGTACTCTAGTTGTTGCGTTTTAGTTGTATGATAGGTAAAGATTTACAGATATCACAGAGCAAAACATAAATCGGAATTTTCTTTTTTAGTCGTCGTCCAATGTTGACATTGTACACTCGAAATATTTTTCATTTTCAAATAGTAAAATGTATTAGAAATATTCTAAAACATATATTGAAAAACTTTATAACGCAGACGGGGCTCGGCTCCCGATGACCACTGTTGCATGTCGCTTGAATCCCGATTATATTTTGTCTTAACCATAGAAAGGCTAGTTCTGCACTTTACTTTACTTTAATGCTCAATCAAATGCTAGCTCACTTTAACATAAATAAACTTTTGCATTCAAAACAATTCGGTTTCACTCGCGGTCGGTCTACAACGGATGCTGGAATTAAGTTATTAGAGAGTATTGACGAAGCCTGGGATGAGTCATATGATGCCTATGGTATATTCTGTAACTTATCTAAAGCATTTGATTGTGTCCAGCATCAAACGTTAATTAGAAAGCTTAATCATTATAGAATACGTGGGGCGGCCTTATATTTTATATCATCTTACCTTAAGAGTTCAGAAAGTTGTTATAAATGTCAGTATACAGTCATCCGGTTCTGCCATAACGATGTGGGTGCCGCAGGGCTCAATTTTGGGACCTTTTCTATTCCTGGTATACATAAATGATGTCCCTCACCTCACAGGACACGATCACGAGATAGTTTTGTTTGCTGATGATACGTCTTTAATATTTAAAGTTAAATGTGGACAACGGGAGCTTGACAATGCCCTCTCGAGAGCAGTCCATTGGTTTAGTGTTAATAACCTACTCTTAAATGGCAACAAAACTAAATGAAGCAGATTCACTTTACCTAATGTTACGTTAGTTAAAGCCAGTGTTAAGGTAAGGGACGACGAGATAGAATTGGGCAATGAAATTCTGGGTATAACGTTAGACTCAAAACTACAATGGGGATCTCATATCAGGAAAGCCTCGAGCAAACTTAGTTCTGCAGCCTCTACCGTAAAAAAGATCAAACAATTAACAGACATTAAAACAGCGCGTCAAGTCTACTTCAGCTACTTTCACAATGTTATTACATATGGCATACTACTGTGGCGTAATCCTGCCGACATTGAATGTATCTTTGTGATGCAAAAAATGGAGGGATCTCGGAAGTCATTAAGTACTCGCAGTATATTTATGAAAATATATTATATGCCCATAAGATTAAAAGCAAGTTTAGCAAGAATAGTGATAGGCATAATTAAAACTTACGAAATAAGGATAACCTAGCTATCGCCAAATATAGGCTTCATAAAATATCTAATTAATTTGCGGGGAATTGTATTCGTATGTACAATACATTGCAAGTTGAGGTGTCAAATTTATCGATAAATAAATTTTAAAAAGTTATAAAATTTAGATTGTCTCAACAGGCGTATTATTGTCTAAACGATTTCTTTAATGACCGCCTGGCAGTAATATGGATTGCTTCCTAGGTTAATAAATTCACAATGTATTAGTTTATAGGACATGTTTAAAAAAGCCGGACTGAGTTTCTTGGGTGTTCTTCTCAGTTATGTTGCTCTTTTGAACACTCTGTAGAATCACGACAAACAGACAGACAAACAAAAAAATTTTGACGAATCTAAATAATTTTTAACATTTTAAAGATAATAAAGTATATTTTATTTGATCTTTTCGGAAATTTTTTTGTATCTACGCGAGTAATACTCTCTCACAGACACTACTCACCGAAAGGAAAACAACGGTCTACGACGGCAAATTACAGAAACCGACGGCGGGGGTCCGTAGTTAAAAATTAGTTGCTATCGTACGTAACAATCCATTGAATTTGTTTCGTTTTGAAATGTATATTGTTCACATTTACTCTACCAGTTTAGACGCGAAATGACATAAATCAACCTGGCCGAAACTCGTAAAGTGTGCGTGCGTATCGAACGGCCGCGGCCGTAAAGCCTCTTTATGCAGATAAGTATATTTTTGAGTGAAGATTTCTCGGCGTTATTCACTTTTTACGGCGGCCGACTCTTATCGCGCAGTTAGACGTTATTTTATTATTTGTATCGCGGCGGGCCCTAGAATTCTATGCTGTTATGGCCCGCAATATTCTTTTAATACTTCCGTCGGAGGTACCGCGAACGATAAACTGTTGCCGTTCGAGCGCCGTTAGTGGCTAAACACGGTTATCTTGGCGCGTTCTTTGTATACGGCGGCGTAATTACTTCTGCTCGACGGGAACGCCGGTATCCGAACTACTCTAATTTGAATAATGAGACAATAGAGGAATGAATTTTATCCAAATTAAATAAATGTAGAGGAAATAGGATAGAGCGATGTGACAAAGAGGGGCATTTATTATGCTAAACTAGAGCTAAGGAAGCCTAGTGCGACGCCGCGTCTCTCCCCCGAGGGCCCGAGTTATGACGTTCTTGCGGGCGCGCAATAAAGTGAATTATGCACAGAACTGCAACGATACTTTGTTCGGAGCCCCCGAGACAGCCTGCGCTTGGAATTATACTGGAAATACTCTTCTAAGCTGCATAATGCCCTGATGCTATTACGGAAAAATTTACGTTCAACGAGATAATATTAAGATTATTTAAAACATCAGCGCTATCGGCTCTCGACTTCCCCCGATGGATAAGTACGAGACCGACGAACTGCTATCAATCCCGAGTTAGACTGCCATAACGTATTATTAACGTTTGCGGTCAATCTGACAGAACGTGTGGAAGAACCGTCGCCAAATGTCCATTCACTAGCTTGGAAGATTGCCTCACAGCGGTGTGAGCCGAAGAGCCGACAAAGTTTATAATATATACCGTGACAATTTGTGTCTCTCCCAAAACAATGGTTGTCCTTTTACTTTCTAAATACTGTAAGGACGCTAACCCTTTTTTGGCATTAAAAAGTAGCCTATTTAAATCAGTTCAGTAGTTTCGGAGTTAAAGCAGGACCGACAGACAGACAGAGTTACTTTCTCATTTATAATATTAGTATAGATATAGATAAGTATGTATATATTTAAAATATTTTTGCTGTGTTATACCTCTAAACAAGGAAACAGGTAGGTACTACCTACCTGTTTACACATAATAAACGCATATCTACTTGAACCCTTTGAAAATATAACCTAGTAAAAATGCAAAACCCGGGACTTTTAAATTTTATCAAAATTCTAAAGAATGATTAACAAATACATAATACAATTTAGTTCCGTCACACGAAGTAGTTTTCGCATCGAACCGCTCCAGCGCAGGCTTATCTTTTCATGATTCGAAAAGGGCTTCCATGCAATGAAGGAAGCCGTGCGAGGCCCAGTTGCCCAGGCACAGTTGCAGCCGATGAGGCAGGCGAAGCCAACTGAAGCGACTAATTAGCGCGGTCGAAGGCTTTGTGTGAGACTGCATCGCCGTATTGCCGGTATTTTTATTTACCGAGTAAAGCTAATCAAGTCGAAATGTAACACTCAGTTCTTAATATTGCATTTAATGCTCGGAGGCTAAATTGAGTCAAATTCCCGTTTCTATAGATTTTTTTATTTGAAAAGTAATTACCACTTACTTTGTCCTAAACATCGGCCCGTAAACGAAGTGCGGAGCTCTTAAGGGCGCATTGAAGAAACAAATCGGATCCAGACAGATACCAATATCAATGAAAATATTTCGATTTTAAGCTGATTTCGCCTCGTGTTGCATTTTTATAAGATTGTCTATACGAAGCACGTGACACGACTCGAAAGGGCCTAATGATGCGGTACATTTTGTACTCTTGTACGCTGTGCGTGGTTATGGCCGCTTTGTTGGAAATACACGGATCGATATTTCGACTCCGAACGCATGGAATATCTAAAGAAATATCATTACAAATTACTTAAATATCCATCAATAATATAATATCACTACACTACAATAAAAGAAGTAATTAACAACCTTTTTTAGTATTTCTTATATACATCAGTTTAATGGCGTAATTTGGCATTTGATCCACTTACAAAATTGTGATTATTACGAATTATTTATAATATGTCAACGCGAAACCTAGGAAGTCAAGGAAAATATTATTATTTAAAACTGTGCATAATCAGAAAACAGAATATTGTAGGTGAAAGTACATCATATCTATATCGCAATTCTTTAATAAAACGTCTGTGGCAGTAATAAGGCTAACGCTCAGCCAGGTCTTTGGCAAGTTAAATATAAGAAAATGTTCTCCTATTGTTTGTGAAATACTCGAGAAGCCGTTAGTTGCAATTCGCGCCACGGGCCGCTCGTAAAGTGTGGCGCTAGTGTCGCATCGCATATGGTGGCTGTCGCCCAACAATCTAACACCGCTATGCAATTATATCGCTATATGTCAATATGTACCCAAGTTTGATTGATGAAATTACTTTAGTGTTTACAGCCTAGATGCCCCCCCCCCCCCCTTGCTTACTCTAATACAAGTTTTATTTTTCAATCACAATC